ATCTCCTGTGTGTAGAGGTCAAAAGATCAAGTTAAATGTCCGTATATCTTGTTGAGACATACTGGGGATGTGATTTTCAGTTCTTTGTTTTGCATGAGGTCTTATAGATGATGTATAGCAACATTTACATGCCAAATTATTACATCTCTGATAAGCCTTAACCTGCCCTGAGAATAAAAAACATACCGTATATCGTGCACAGCTGACTCATGCAGTGACTGTGTCATGAGCCTGGAAATCATGGAGTGAAAGATGAACAACAGCAGCCTCAGGTTCAAGAGGTAAAACACATAAGAGACTGAAAACTCTGAGCTCCCACCACAGAGGAATAGGATTTATATATAAATAAATATATATATATATATATATATAAAAGGCTTGGCGGTAATTTGCATTCACAGCAAACTGCATTAGTATTCCACTGCAGCTGTCTTGTATAACGTCTGTGATAGAGAGCGTCTTTTACCGAGGCTGAGGCTGAGGCTGACGTCGATCCAGATACTTGCTGTGGTCAAAGACGAGGGATTCCCTTGACTTTTGTTTTCACGCATGAGAGATTAATAAGGGTAGTTACATAACATCAGCAGGGTACAGGTGAGAGGGTTCTGACTGCAGTCCCCCTTTTAACTTCATCTGCAGTGGGACAGAGGAGAGGAGAGGAGAAGAGAGGAGAAGAGAGGAGAGGAGAAGAGAGGAGAGGAGGTAAATCGGCAAGAGAGTAGGAGGAGGAAAACAGAGAGAGATAAGAGGAGGGAAAAAAGTGGGAGGAAACAAAAGGAGAACTAGGAAAGAGGAGAGGAGAGCCAAGAAAAGAAAAGTAAAGAAAAGAAAAAAAAGAGAGAGGTGAGAGTAGGAGAAGGTGGAGGTGAAAGAAGAGGAGATGAGAGAAAGAGGGAATAAGTAGAGAAACAGGCAAAGAAGAGAACAGAAAGGAGTTGAGGAGAGGAGAGTGGGAAGAGAGTAGGAGGTGGAAAACAGAGAGATGAGCGGAGGGAAAGGAGTGAGGAAAGAAAAGACAGATGGAGGAAAGGAATTAAGGAAAGGTGATAGGAGAGGAGAATAGGGTAAGAGGACAATAGGGGAGAATGGGGAGAGTAGTAGGTAGAAAGGAGGAGGTGAAAGAAAGGGAGATGAGATAATGGGGGAATGAGGAGAAAAACTGACAAAGATGAGGTTAGAAGGGGGTTGAGGAGAAGAGAGGTGAGGAAATGAGAGAAAGGTGATAAAACGAGAAAGGAAAGGGTAGAGGAGGAGCAGGTTCAAGGAAAGAGGGAAAGGAGATCAGGGGGAATGTAGAGACACAGGAAAAGGAGGTGAAGCAAAAATGGAGGGATAAGGGACACAATCAAAGAGAGGGAAAGAGGCAGGGGAATAAAAGATGGGGAAAGAAAAAAGAGAGAAAAACAGAGGAAGAAGCAACAAACAGCCAAAACCACGATGCAGCACACACAACCATCAGCTCCGAGACCAGCTCAACAACAAGCTCTCCATCCAGAAAACCCCACCGTACACCACAACTCCCGGGCCGACACAGGTGTCGGGTTTCAAATAAGTGCTGACATCGATGACACGCGACACCCAAAACAGGATGTTTGTCGTCACCTGTCGGTTCAACATCACCAGCATGTGACGAGGATGTTTTCACCTGCAGTCAGCAATCACAGTGAGAGATGATCTGCCCTGTCAGAGGAGCAGAGCTATGTTTAGGATGCTTGCCATGTGTCATCTGTTGCAGTCATCACCGTGGTTGTAGCTCTGTATTGTCATGTGCTTGTCATGTATAAATGACACTATTGTGAAGGCCAGAAGACTGAAACGAATCAGGTTGGACAGGTAATTTCCCTTTGTGGTTATTTTCAGTCTCAGAGTACATGTGCTGCAGCGATAGCAAACTGACACTTATTGTTTAAAATTGATCTGTAACTATGATTACAGTTGATTGTTTTCATCAGCTGATGCTAGACTAAAAGGTTAACGGTAACACTTAAGTGTAGTAATAGTTTCACATTTTGGGAAATATGCTTATTCACTTTTGAGCAGAGTTAGACGGCGGGATAAATACCAGTCTCCTGGTATAGCTAGCAGCGTCTTAGCTTAGCTTAGCTTAGCATAAAGAATGAAAACAGGGGGTAATAGCTAGCATGGCTCTGTCTAAAAATAACAAAATACACCAACCAGCCCCTCTTGAGCTCACTTCTTAACACGTTGTGTCTTGTTTGAGTTTAATGTTGCCAAGAAACATGTTGCTACGCTACACTTAATTTTTAGTGTACAGATTAGACAAACTGAATATAACTTGTCAATCAGTGAGCTTTAGAGGTGCTGGTAGTCAAGATTTTGTTTCCTTAGGACAAAGCCAAGTTAACAGTTTCCAGTTTTTATGCTAAGCTAAGCTAACATGTTTCATATTGAACACACGGACATCAAAGTGGTATCGATCTAGATAACAACCTAAAAAAGAAACATAAAAAATGTAAAATTCACACAAGTCAAAGATGATTAAGGCCGCTATCCAGCTACTATCTTCCCACATGTGCACAGAGCTGTAGCTACCAGTGAAAACACCAAGTTCATGTCCTCAGTATTAAATTTGCCCATCTTAGCAACCTGTAATTTAAAAAAAATCAACACATGGTGGTATTTTACAGATATTTATATTTGAAAACAGTTTATAAACCACCATAATTTTATTCCTGGCCTTGTGGTGACGCTTCAATAAATAACAATAACAAACACAGAATGTGCAGTGCTGGCCATGTGAGTTAATAGAACCACAAGAGATAACAAGACGGCAAAACCATTACACGTCATTATAATAATCGACCTTAAGTGAACCTCCACCAGAAAATAGCTCCTCATATATGGGCTCATATTTATATATAAATAACTCACAAGGAACTGTTTCCAAGTTATAGTCACTGAATTAAGCTAAAAATATCACTTCAACCGGCAATTTTCTGAGGATGGATGGTGCAATAACAAACCCTCTATGGAGACAACTGCCTCCGAGACTAGTTAATGTTTTGTCAGATATTTCAGATAGTGAGGGGAATCATTTCCTGCAATTCCACTCAAAGAATGGCTGCATACCAGCCTGGATGACTCACTGTTGCCATATAAACCAAGCCATGATCATAAAACATTGTGAAACCTTTGTGTCTACTGAGAAAAACATGAAAAACAGGGGCTACCCAGACAGGTACTTCCCGCAGGAAGGAAGACACTGTAGTGAGGAAGACTCAGTAGTATTCTAGGTATTGAGTATAAGCAAAAAGAATGAGGTTAGAGACTGTATTTGCTTAAGTTTCTATACATCTTAACTGCTAAATTTACTTGTTCCTTAATGGGATACTGCTGAGAAGATGCAGTTTACAGAGATCCAACAGAAATTAATCTGAGTGCTGAGGCAGACCACATACTGAAAAAGGTTAAATAAATGATAGCAAAAAGGTGTCAGAAAAACATTTTATATTTCTATGAGGTACCTCAGTTACAGCAACCCACGGATATGAAGTTGTCTGCTCCTATGGTCTGGTTCAGCTACATTTGATTGTAGCACCATCTTGTGAGGTTTTATGGAACAGCAGGAGAAAAGGGCTTCAACAGATGTTTTTCACAGCAGACATTTTGACATGTCAGAGCAAGAAAAGCACGGGTGGAATGAATAACATCAATAAGAAATGTATTTGATTGGTTGGATAAATGTTGATATTTGAATGAACATATTTTACCCTGAGACCAAGTCATCTGTGTTTTTTAAAATGTCCAGTAGGGAGCACATTTTGCCATTTCAAGAACTTGACTGAAAATGCGACTGTCTGAGGTTTTCAGTCACTCATCTGAACTTTACTTTCTTGGACGCGACACCTCACTGAAACCTGATTGGACAGAGGACTGTGGTTGATTCCAATGAGTCTCAACTTCTTATCTACAGTCGTTCAAAGTCAGATTTTTTCATAAGGAATTTTGTTGTCTAAATCCCACCAAACCTAAACAGGCAACTTCTGAAAATATTAATTCAATATAGGCATGGGCTATTTAAAAGTCTAATTATTGATCTCCACAAAAATTCAAACTAGGCGCCATCAAACGTCGGGTGTCTGCAGGTTTTCTACACTACAGCAGTCGATTTCACAAATTATCTTTCTTTCTTTCTAGTTAAAAGTGTGAATCTAGCAACACAAGGGAGAGTGGCAAATTGCAGCTTCTACAACAATTAAGCATTTGAAATAATATCATCATCATATAATTTTTTTTTTTTAAATCAACAACAGGTAATCAATCAAGTGACAGGATCATTTTAAATCCGAGATGAAATGTTTTTTACTGAGGGAACAGTCATGTAGTTCTGAATGTTCTTGTGATTGTTCGAGTTTTATGGTAACGTTATTGCATTATTTTTGTGTGTTTTCTATGAATTTCTTGTTTTGAACTATTTGGTGCCGTTCTGCATGAATTTCTTGTTGAAGTTTGTGCTATATTTAATGTATTTGTTATATTTTGCATGCCTTTGTTGTCACCTTTTGTATACATTTTAATAAACTTGGGGATTTCAAAAGGTCCATCTGTGGACAGACGGAATGAAGGTTGGGTCATTGGTCTGTTACATAGTTTCCCTATAAAATCAGAAGTTACATAAATGGCAGCACGCTCTGCATTGTGTGACTCACTTCTGTATCAATGCCTCCCTCCACTGGAGATGAATGGTCCTACCTCCTTCCTTCTAGGATGCAACATGGTTTTTTTTTTTTTTTTTTAGGGTGTGGGCCAAGTGTGTCCCAGTGTCTGTTTGCCAACTTCTTTCCACCCGTGGTAAATTTTCGTGTCCTCGTTCTGATTAAGGATTTACTGAACACCACAGATATTATGTGCGCTGCCAATTTAAATGTACTAAATGGCTGTGCGCAAAACGAGATGGCACCCTAAGAGAGATTCTTAGCGCTGTAAATTTTCACCTTTAGTGGAAGACAAATTACACACAAGATAAACCAGACGAGCCCTTTACTTACTTACTCAACTCAGTTTATTTACAGAGTATTTGAAGAGCCATGTATGCAAATGTACTGAAATTACCGACAGAACTCTTTTCCTTTACACATGGGGAGCTGATTAATCAGAGTTTGATCTCTTTATATTTTGATCTAGATGCTTCAAAAATCCAGTGAGTGACTGTTTCTTGTTTTAGATTGCTGTCAAGTTCCTCAGGGAAACAATAAATTAACCCGGTTTTAAGCCGTGCTCAGTCTTCCAGACTTGAGTAAATGCAGCGGTTAGAAACAGTTAATATTTCTGCGTGAGGACAGGACACAGATAAATCTAAGCAACACCAAGCCGGCGATATTCCAATAAAGGGCAAGAAAAGAGATCAACCAAAAAGAGAACGCTTAACAAAAATAGTTTTACTACAACATAACGTTACAGTCCTCCCTCAGATGAGCCATACAGAAGCAATATGATCATGGAGGGTCTAAGTTACTGGACGACAGGTCACACTGATCGCTCTAACCCATTAATACATTATCTTTTAAAAGGAAAGTTTAAGGATTTTTTAGAAAGCCTTTCTACGGGTCAAGAACAAATCTCAACAGAGAATTTTGTCGTAAGATTTCATGTATGCACTTTTGAGGGACTAGCCAATAGAAAATTTGTAACAGCAAGATGAAGACCTTTAATCTTGAATACTTTTTTATTTGTAATATCACTTTTTCTTCTCCCACAAAGACCCAATCTTCCCTCCGGATTCAATTCAATTCACTTGCATAATCATCACAGATCAGTATCATGGAAAGAGCAAAAGCAGGTTAAGACCAACTCAGGAAAGTCACGGTGAAAAACAACTTTGTGATTGACGACAAGACCTTCAAAAAAGCCTCAACTATCCCTTTAAAGAAAGCACCTCAACTCTCACAAACACCCCTGAAGAAAACTAGTTTTAACTGTCCTGATATCAGTTTGGTGACGGTACATGCCTTTTTTTTTTTTAATTAACACTGAAAATAAAATAGAGAACAGGCAACATAGATAGCATGGACAGACATTAAAAAAAAGAAAAATAAAAACAGCTCAGGTTCCTACACTCTTAAAAAAAAAGACGACGTTTTCAACACATCTTCACCTGCTACCTCTCTGGATGTGTTGGGAATGGCTTCTTTTTAAGTGTGTGGAAGTGATTGGCTCACCCTCCCCAAACTGTCCACCAGGTGTTGTAAAGACTGAACTTGTACAGATATGAGAAAACTGATCACTGGGGGAAAAAAAAAAAACAAAAAAAAAAACAAACAAAAAAAAAACTATGAAATAAAAATTACATCCACAGTTTCTGGGGACTTTTTAACATGTGGCAACATTTCATAATACTGCCAAACAGACTGCTGGACATGACTTTGGAGGAACAAAATCTTACATTTATAAACGGGCAGATTTTGGATCATTTTACGCACAATCCTCAGTTTATTGGGCTCCGGCAATAATCTGTCTTTTCTATCAACCTCAGACCAATGTTAAAATGTAAATAATGAAAATAGCTAAAATTACATCTGTTGGGGTCACAAATTCACTCTAACCATGGACTAAATGCTTTTAAATGTTGGCTGTAAAGTACTGTCTATTCTGTGCCAGTAAATTTGGCAGGTATACAGCAACCTTTGGGGCGTCTTCAAATTTATGACCCATCCGTGGAAGAAAACACCTCTACCGTTTGTTATTTTTCAGTTGAGCAGGTCTCTCTAATTGCAGCTTCTTAAAAATGTGACTAGTATTTCAACTGTTACAGTTTAAGTTACAGTTTACATAGGACTGAACAACAGTTTCATGATGTATTTTCTGTTGTTTTTATGTCCAATCCTACAAGTAAGATAACCTTTGTTGTGTGGTGAAAATATTGTAGTAAGTTTCGCCTGTGTTCAGTATTAAGTGCCCCACAAGATGATGCTGAACTACAGTAGCTGCACCACCAATTAATATTCAGTGACGTGAAGTGCTGGTATGCACAGATACACAGGTGTGGAAATTCAACTAACCTTTTTGTTGAATATACAGGCTTACTGCCCAAAAACTCATTGTATTCCCTAGAAAGAGTAAAGGGAAACGTCATCATTCATGTTTGTATTTTTTTTTGTCTGTTTACTACTAGTGGTGGGGAGGAGACACCTCTACATTCTCTGTGTGTTGAAATAACAAAACCTGTCATCTCTCTCACAAGAAGACATACAGATGTGTTGACAAATGATGCATGTGTTAAAAGAAGGGCAGCTTTAATGTATATTTTGCAAACGTACCAGTATGTGCCTCGTTCAGGACAACATATTGCATGTTATTTTAAGACTGTAGTGGGGAGGGTGTCATTCTCTGTCCATGCATTTAAATAGCAACACAGGAAGAAAAAAAAAAAAAAAAAAAAAAAAAAAGACTAACACACATTTAACGCGTCTTAGAGAGGAAAATAAGTCACCCAGAGGTCTGCAGCAGTAAATCTTGTCATTTCTTTCAAATAGATTTGGACTTATAATCTTTTTTTTTTTTTCTTTTTTTTTTTTTTTTTTTGTGTCCGTTAAATTCAAATGTTGACAGAATAGGAGTACATTTTGTGGATCACATTCAGACGCCTCGTCTCTCTTCTTCTATACTTCAGTGTTGCCCGCGTAGAGCCTGGTCCATGTTCGGGCTGAGGGGAGAGAGAAAGATAAAATGGTTGTGGAGGGTGTGAGGGGGCTGTGGAGAGTGCAGGACTGTGGATAACAAAGTGTTAGAGAGTGTTCGCAGATGTGTTTCATCAAACAAACGTCCAGGACCACAGGCATCCTAAAGTAACTGAAATGTCCACATACGAAACCAACACAATAAGTAAATCAATTAGTCAGTCCACAGAAAATCAATCACCAACAATTTTGATGAACAATTAACGGTTTAAAAAGTTCATCAGGAAAAAATGCTAAACTTTTGTTGGTTCCATCTAGAGTAGCAAGTAAGGATTATTTTCATTATCCGTTAATCTGCCAATTTTTTTTCTTGACTAATCGTCTAATCTCTCGGTCTTTAAATTCTCAGAAAGACTCAGTTGACATATTCCAGTTACTTGCTTTGTTCCACCAGTAGTTCAGACCCAAAGATATCCAGTCTCCTATCACAAAAGACAAGAAATTTCCCCCAAAAAAAAGAAAAAGAGAAAAACAAAGTCTAGAAATGATGCATTAATTATCAAATGTATTGCTGCTTATTTGGAGCTTTGAACCAGAACAAACTACAACCGTGCTCCTTTTGAGGTATTTTGGGTCACTTGTTCAACAGAATTCTCAAATGTCTTCAACAAAGAGATGTAGTGAAGGAGAATTTGACAGCAGAAATAAAAGTATCACTGAAAAGATGAAGAGAGCTTTCAAAGCCTAAAGCGTCATGAACAGAAAAACAGAAAGAAATGAAACCACAGGTTTGTTTTAAATGTTATAAAATGTCTATATAACTAACTTTCACTGTCCTCGTAGAATCCAAGTCTCACAGCTTCTTTTACAACTGAATCATTCCAACCCATTTTCTCTTATTTTGTTAAGTACTTTTTGTTAAAATGCTGCGAGTACAGCAACAACATCTTTGATTTGAGGAAATCCCTTTAAAATAACTGTGTTGTTCTGATTCATGAGCTGTGATTTCATGATAAGTTTGACAAATTTAAGAAAAGCATCCATGCTCAATGGCATATTTGTCTGTTTACAGTCACCAACTCAAGCTACCAACAAAGCCAACCAGGAAAACTGCCATTGAAGAAGGCAACACCTGAGCTTTGAATAATGTGATAGCATTTGAAATGTGGGTGGCAATTCAAAGGTCTTGAGTTGAGCTAATGGTTTCCGCCATCTGTCAAAGCATTTCTCATACTGGAAATCTATGACCACCTGTGGTGATTGCAAGTTGAGAACAGCTGATGCTGAGTGTTGTAAATGAGTGTTCAGCAAAAATATGAATCTGCTACTCACCTGTCTCAATGGCATGGCTTTCGTTTTTCTTCCACTGCTCTGCAACGTCGTTTGCCAGGGGATCATCTGGATTGGGAGCACTTAATAACGCCTGGATAGATAGCAACACTGTACGGATCTGCAGGGCTGGAGACCACTTATCTGGAAGAAGGAAAGTTTGGAGAAGGATGCAAGGAGAGACAAAAGTGACAGTTCACAGGTCAAACTGAGGAAACAAGGGAAATTTCAGAGTAATACAGCATTGGTATTAGTGGATGACGACACCTATGCAGCCACAAGATGCTGGTGACAGAGACACTGAGCAGCATCATTCATGGCTAACAGTTAAAGCTGTGCAGTAATTTCTCTGAGATCCACTTTTTCCTAAAGCTATTTGATAATGGAAAACAACTCTGGCTCTTGTAAATCTAATGAATCAAAACAATAAAATATGAGATAGTAACGAGCCTGTTGCAATATTTTCTTTACTACCCTAAAGAAAGTCTGCCAAACCCTCTGCTTTCGTCTGTTCCGCTCTTGCCAAATACACATTACAATGCATTTGTTTAACCTCAAAACTTGATTTGATGGTTGTAATCATATCTGCTTCCTGAGGCTTCGTCACACAAGAGTACTTTTTTACAAATATAACTGGCTACATTTAAGCTATCTGATATTATAAAACTTGCTGATCTGATACCACAAAGTCTGGCTGTGACAATAAAAACTCCATCCCATGATTCGATGCCTCACTCTGCCACACACTGTGTGTAATAATGTTGTCATTGGGCACTTTATGGGTGTCAGAGTCATGTGAACGTGTCAGTCAGATGTGCCATAAGTGTATTGCTTCACTTCTTTGATTTGATAGCTGCGAATTACTATTCCCATTATGCCTAATACTATTATTATTAATGTTGTTAATTACTGCTAGCCTGAATTTCTTTTTTTCCCCTTGTTTGGATATCCCCTCCACCCAGAATCAAAAATGTCATGTTTTTACATAAATGTTCAACTTTCAAACGGCTTTGTGTGGCATGAAAGGGTTGAGAGTACTATCAAACCCACTGAGAATTAACCCCCTGCTTCACTACTCAGATCATTGTTTTGAACAATCTTTGACACGTCTGGTTTTGCTACCTGCAACTGCAGACAACCAATGTAAAGGAGTGTTGAGAGTTGTTGGGGAACAAACAAGTATTGGGACTTCTTTTGTTAGATGGACATAAACAACTCTCTAATAGGATACCCATGATGCTCTGTGTCACCTGAATACATTATGTAAATTGGCAGTTGTTCGCCAACACATTAGTAATATTAACTCAACAGCCCGTATAGACATAAAGGCCATTGCAGTGAGTTTTCCCTCCTCCTACAAGTCAGAAATTTTGTATTGCAGATTCAACAGTTTAAAATAATCCAATTTCTTTTTACTAATGTCAAGATTGGAAACAAAACTGTGCAAGCACAGTCAGTGTGATTCCACACCGGTGTCAACCAGAAAAAAAACCCATCATGTATACAGAACATTTCTTACTTGTTTGTGTCTTTCTGCTGTGTTTTCTTACCTTTCAAAATGTCTAAACATATTCTTCCCAGTTTGTCAACATTGGGGTGGTAGATTTTGGTCATGAATCGCACTTTGGGAGCTGCCATGGGATACTCTTCTGGAAGAAATAGTTCAAGTTTAAATGTGCCTCCTTCAAAAGGAGAGTCTTGAGGCCCCGCAATGACCACATGGAAGTAACGTGCATTCCCTTCATCAGGCGTAGCCGTGATCCCTGGAACAGGCTCCGCCATCAACCGCTGTGTCTCCTGAGTGTGGTCAGAATGAGAAACACACAAAACCATTGTTGAGAATTCTGAATGAAACTAAAATTACTGCCTCACTGTTGTATGTCTCCACCAACAAGTCAAGTTGCAGTTTATATCGATGTCTGTCCTGACTCATATATGTAATGAAGATTTAGAAAGAATATAATAAAAGGTATTCAGTGTATTTTTTTTATGATTTGTGATATACAAGGATATATAAATAAAATTGATTTGTTTGATTAAGCTTTGTTATTCTAAATTTGCTGCATGTCTACTGTATTACTGTGTAAGTTCACTGAGTGAAACAAAAAAATGTGTGTGCATGTGCTCACACAATTAACCAATAAAACTGATTCTCATAGAGCACAAATTTTTAGCCATGACAGTAGACAATGCTTCAAAGATGGATGTTGCTGCAAATAAAAAAAAAACTGTGCTGAAGAAAGAACTGTGGAGGCGTCAACAGACAACAGACTTTCAGGTACATAATAGATGACAATGTTCAATTACACCTTGCTTAGTCACATGCACACAAACTCACCCACATACAGACAAGACAACATTCCACAAATTATTGTTTAACAGAAACTAAAAAGGCAGCTGAGGGCTGGAGCACTTTCCCACATAGCATACAAGTACTTTGATTGAAACACTCACAGAACTTCCCACTACTCTAAACTGCTTATTTCTTAAATAAAATATATGATTCAGACCTGCAACTAACAATTATTTTAATTTTATATTAAACTGACAACAATTTTTAAACCAGACAAGCTATAAAATGTCAGAAAAGAGTGAACAATGTATCATGATCATTTTTAAAAACTAAAACTGAAAAAACTTTTTTTTTTGTCTGACCCGATGTCTAAAATCCAACAATATTGTTTTTACTATCATATAAAGGTTCGGTTTATTCACATTATCATTAACAACATTTCCAAATATTCTCATTTAGAGGCTGAAACCAGTGGTTTTCTGGCATTTTTTTTTACCTAAACATCAGCAAAACGATCAATGAATTATCATAATGGTTGCCAATTAATTTTATGACAATTGAGTATCTGAGTAACCTATGAGGTTTCAGCGCCACTTTTGGTTTATGATCCATTTTATTATGAGAAATGAGTTAACAGATTATTACGGTTAAGTAAATTTCTATTACAAATCAACTACGTATTGTGCGACACTAAGAGACACAAGAAATGAAAAGAAGGAAGTGGAACATTATTTCGTATTTCTGCATTTCACCAAGCAGGTGCAACGAAACATCTGCAGTCGACAGGAAAGAAAGTGGTTTAATCTCGTTTTATATACAAGTATTACTTTGTTGTGGTTGGAAAACAAACTACAGGTTTCCATAATGGAAGCTAGGTCGTATTTTCACTTTGTCAGCGTTATGTTCCTGGCTGTGAAAACCAGCTAAACCTGAGAAATAGCTGCTAGATGTGGCGGAAAAGGCTGATCGCGCCCACTGCCGGGCCTGGCCCTACGAAGTAAAGTCGCGATGAGGGAGGAGACCGCAGCGCAACAGGCCCCACAATTCTGGTTCATTTTTCGATTCATTTTACACAAAATAAGCAATATGAACATGTTCGCTTTCCTACGAGCATTTAAATGTTTAGAGACCACAAGGGCGGCGTTTCACATCAGCGCCAGACATGTGTACCAATGACCAAAGCTACAGTTGCTAGCTTAGCTTACATAGCGAATCCATTCATATGGCGACTAGGACAATTTGTCATAATTTGTTGATTCACACTGCAAATTAGCAACCTGGTGGTGTTACAGCTGCAATATAAGCACGACAACAAATCTACTCGTATAAAAATTCAACCACAGACAGAGCAGAAGGGAGTAAACGGAAGTGGCAAACAAAACACTTGCAGACACGGACCAGCGAGCTAGCTCGATAACTAGCTAGATAAGAGCTAATTGTGCTAGCTGCGCTAACGTCAGGCTACACGCTGGATGGCAGTAACTCTACGGCCATATTCGCATTAAATAATCTTAACAAGACAAACACACGGACTCATTAAGATATATATACACTGTCCGGTGAAAAATGTACCTTTATAATCCTACGAGGCAAACCGGCCATCTTGTGTTAGCTATTATATTTTTAGCCGTGGACTCGCCTTCTCTTCAGGTTGGACTGACTGAGCTGCCGGGGCGGGGACAGATAACTCACTCTTCCGGTGGCTTCAGATGACGTTAGGAAATGCGCTGTTAATTGTAATAAAAATATAAAAACTAGATGTAATAAAAAATATAAACAGTAAATACATTAATTGTAATTAACATTAAATACAAATACTAAGTTTATTAAAAGAAACTGATAGAAATAAAAAATACTAAATGTAATATAATATAAACATTAAATGTAATGAAAACAAACACTAAATGTAAATATTTAAACACTAAATGTACCAGTTAAAATGTAAGTACTACTTGTTACCTAAGCATTTTGGGCAGATTTTCGACACTATAAACACAATTTAAAGCTTCCTTTTGAATACATCATACTACTGTATATTATGAAATCCCCCAAACTTAATTTTATTGCAAATGTTATGACATGGAAAAAGTTTTTAAACACAAGATGCCAATTCTCTAAAAGCCTAAGATGGCACTGACACAATTAGTATTTAATGTGCCTTTATTTGATTGCATTAATTAATTTTTCTATTTTACTGTATTTTTTTAAATGTTCTCTTTCATTTATATAAACACTATTGTGATGATAAATAGAAAATGAAAGCATATTTTGATAAATACTAAATAGTCTATATGAAAATGATGAATTACTCAGTTGTTGAAATTTGTTCACTTGTGTCAAAAATTTGTTTTTTTTCATATCTAAGGTAGATGATTCCTATGGGTGGACCTAATAAATGAGAGGTGGGACAATATGGGTGAGACTGAGTATGTGGAGAATAAAACCTGTGTCTGAATCTTGTTGTGATGTGCATGACCTTGAACACTCTACACAATGAGTGCCCTTGTGTTCTGTTTTTCCTGCAGGCACTGTGAAACATCTTGGTTGCTGTTCATATCTTGTGGTGCAGAACCACAGCTGCATTGGTGGTTTCCTTCAATCCAAAAACAATGGCCACTTTTTCTTCACAATCTCCCTCTCACATTGAAGTCAACATGTAGGATGCATTTACTTGCATTCATTTTATATCCAGAGCTGATTTTTATGTTTCACTGCTCTGCATGCATCTTTTCTGCTGCAAGAATATTAAAGATTAAGAACAACATATAGTGGAAATCATTTTTATCAATTTAACTTTTCATAAATTATTGACAGTTTGAAAGTAAAATGTGTCATAAAACAGAATTGGATTGTACTTGAACACATCTTAAAGCTCAGTAAACTCCAGTATAAACTTATAAGATTTAAGACCAGATTGTTGATACAGTAATGGAGCCAGAGTGGAAAGCATATAAAACTGAATTATGGTGTACTGGTGCCAATTCATTACATTAATTAATTTATGAAATTATGAAAGGCCCTTATATCTATTGCAGTAAATATATACAGTATTACACTAGAATATAAATATAATAAAAGTATGATTTCAAAGCCATACAGTTGCTCAGCAGCAATGACTCACACACTTGTGACAACAGAGTCAATATTTAACAGTTTATTATACATCATTGTGACAATAACACAAACATTTGCAGCTTGGCAATTCTGTCCTTCAACTATCTGTCCTTTGGAGGATCCTTCTTAATGCGTCTCATGTGGTACCTGCAAACAGTGAAACACGGGGGAAATTAACTTTGACCAATATCTACAGAAGTTATATATATTTATATATTTTCTTTCGGCTCTCACACTGCCTCACAATTATATAACAACCAAAGGACGATGAGAAGCTGCCAAGTGTCCTTATCAGAACTGCCAAACTAGTCCTGACAGGCCTGTACAGGTAAATTACCAAGCTGATAACCAAGCTACACAAATCAGTGATTAGAAATGAGAATGAGTAGCCCACTCCTTCTCCTTGCCAAGTTTTGATTTCAGGAAAAATGCTTGCCGACTTCTCATTTCTGGCCAGCAACTTTTGAGTAAGTAGGTCAGATGTTCTAACAACTAACACAGCCACATAGGTTCTTTTCTCAGTAGTCTTTTTTGTCACTTTGTGCTCAAGGGCAACTCAAGATTACTGTTTTGTGCAAATACATAGAAAACATACGGAAAAATGTCTTGATGAATCCCTGTATTGTAAATCCAGCTTTTCTACCAACAGTTGTGTCAAAAGCCATTGTCAATACTGTGTGTTATTTGTGTACTCACTGTCCTCTTGGATACCACCGATGTTTAGTTGTGAAAAACATCTTGCTCAGCTCTTCTATAGTGGGTCCCTCTTTGTCCTGCAGCACCTCCTTGCTGAGGTGGGCCTTTAAAACCTGGTCGTGGGTCTCAACCGGGTTGGTGATGGGGTCAGGTCGTTCTATAGGCTGCAAAGATTTACAGTCATGAGCAAGGTGTCCATTTACATGTTAAAATTATATGGTAATTTCCAACAATCCTGCAACGCTTTCTGTTAGCCTTTTTGTACTGATTACTGATATATTTCTAATTGATGTTCATCTGTGGCAGCAGTATGCACACATGTTGACAGTACCTCAAACCTGTTTGCAGTTCTATGTTGCTGTTCTATTGTGGTGGATTTTTATTGCCAGCTGCTGTCTCGTTTGAGAAATGAGTGAGAGCGGGTAGCTGACATCATTGTGGTCTCACAGTTCCACCTTGTGGCAGTGCTATGAATAGAGGTAAATCAATGCAGCCAACCTGCTTGTCATTTAACCCTTAAAAGTTAGTGTTTTTAACCCTCCGTTTATTCAACCCTTTTCAGAAACCACACACAACCTCCTGCACAAATGTAAGCTTGAACGTCAGACTAAGGTGCTTGCCTGTGCACCCTGTCAAGCCATTTGATTTCGTTTCGGGACAACTTGAAATTTGACCTGTCACTTCAGTGGTGGGGTGTGATCTTCCAGAACCAAAGTGTGTAAGAGAAACCACTGTCAGCCATTCTCTGGCTTTTAAATTGTGTATCTTCAAGCACAAAGGTGAACAAGCGAGCAGTGGAGGGCAGAGAATCTGCAGGGTTTTCACTCTTTGGTGGAAAAAGTCACAAATACAAATATTGTCATCACACAAGTAGCGCACTGATATTTATGAGACTAAATAGAAAGCACTCTCTTACTTGTGTAAACTCATAAGGAATGTCGACAGTGGGATGGTAGCACACCACGGTTTTCCCATCTGACGTCACGCCGATTTCCACGTTACTAAAACCAAGAGGTTGGAAGATTATTGTCTTCATCACACTTATACTTTATAAAAACACTTTCCTTCAAACCTTTGAAGAAAATATCTGATACCCTTCAGATTGTATTATAAATCTGCAGTGAACCAGCTGCTCCACAGCAGACTAAACTATGTATGTAATGAAATTAAGAAATGTTCATAATAATAAAGAGCTTTGACAGAGGCCTGATCATACACATTTAACATTTACTTATTAAATATTCTGGGTAATATTTTTACATAAATACTACAAAACTCTTTCATGACTTTTCTGCATTTATAATTATTGGCAGGTTTTACACCAGCAAGCAAGTACACCTTTCACATCTATAATTCAGAAAACTGCCAGTGTTCATACAATTACATTTACATAGCACAACCAAATGTATGTTGCAACTCAGCTGTGTCTAGGCTTAAAATGCTTCTATGGCTACTCTATTTTTGTTTACCCTTTATCCTGTGTAATAAGGTTAATAATTAAAAAGTTTTCTGGAATTTTTACTATTTGTTCATCAAAATTGTCATATCAGGGTTTAAATGTGGCTTAGTATCATAGATAGAACAAATACAGATGCAGATTTTTTTTTTATTTTGAATATAAACAGTTAACCTACCAGTTTGGCCCCTCAAGTGAAGGACCACGGACACTGGACTTCTGTCGTACTGGCACCAAACATGCTGCAACAGAAACACACATACATCATATATTTAAAAGAATTAATATACACACATTTAAACTTATTTGCTAGAGATTAAACATCAGTTTTGAAAGCAAAACTCTCTCCTCTACAGACCATAATGCATGTTATTTCTATTTTATTGAACATAATAACAATGTTATGACACCTGCAAACAAGTCAACGAGGTGTTTGACCGTTAAAAGACGAGGATACGAGACCAACCTGTGTAACTTTTCTTATCATTCAATAAGGTATACGCCTCTACATTGTAAAATTTGATTTGTATATAGAAAATAACAGTATCGACAATGAGAACAGTGATAATGCTAGCCAGATACAAGTGTTAACCTACTAAACATATTCTCAAGGTTAGCTCCTGTTAGCTTTTCCTGCCGTTGCGTTCACGGTTATGAACGGTAAACTCAGTCAAACTAATGACCTCCATCAAACAGCTTGTTAAATGCACTTCAACAGAGCTTACTTTGAACATGTCGTAGTGTGTTGCCGGTAGAAAACCGCGTTAGTAGACTGTGCAATTTGCACAAGTGAGTCGACGCCATGCTCAAACGATTTTCACATGTGCGCCGCTTTAATAATTCCGTCTTAGCGCTGTGACTCGCTCACTTTAGTTCCATTTTACCATCGACCATTACAGGAAAGAGATATTGGGCAGACCACTAACAAAACCAGCACTCTTAAAATAATATCCTGTTTTACATCATTTTGGAACAGCATACGTACATTGTAGAATGGGATCCTTGCACAGTACATGTATTCTAAAGGTAAAGTTACTGAAAGGGTGTCCTGAATTTCAAAAAGGTTATGTCTCTATTGATGCTGTGAAATTGCATTTCTCACTCTAACCTCGAATTTCTATACTTTTCTGAAAACATACAACACATTCATGGTGGGATTCAAATTTCAAACTGGATTGAGGCTTTTAGAATGAGAGATCACTTTTAAGATAAACAATATTCTGCTAATTTTGAGTTGCTGGTTATGTATAACGTCAATCTATGTGGATCAGACACCAAAACTCCCCCACAAACTGATGAGCTACTGACACAAATGTGCATTAGCTGCAAGAACCCATCAAGTTAATCAATCTGACCTCAAATCAACTCTCAGAAATGGAGAAGTGGATACTGTAATGGAAGGAGAAGGCAGTACACACTGTATAGGAGTTGGAGAATCACAACATAAAGGTTCATACATTTTAAAAACTGTATTTATTTATTTATTTATTGACTACACAGCATTTTGTAAAGTCAATGTTTGTACACAGATTTCTTTTAATATTTATTATTACTAGGGAAACCATGTTTGGAATATAGGAAGGTAAATCAGTTCCTTGATATGAAAACAGTCTTAGCATATTACATTTGTACATTTGTACAAAGAAGGGCAAACTGAAGGGGATATTGAATAAACAATTCAAACACAGTAATTCAAATATATGAATTGCTGCTTCCACCTAAAAATCAAAAATGAATTGCTGGAAATATTCACTCATATGAATATAAGAAACATTTTGTCTTTTGTTAACACATCATTGAGCGTGCATAACAACTGTTGTTAATTGTTGTGAGAAACTGAACTAACTCCAAAGTCTTTTAAAAGTTTTAGTCACAGCTTCCAGTCTGACAAAGTCTTTCATGAGTGCGGCTTCATTAATCCAATCCTTTTTCCTGTGAAACAAGAGTGCTGCACTACGAGGAAAGCAGCAATAAGCGGATCAGCTGATGTCTTTCCAGGGAAGCTCAGTTTATTCATGTTCACAGGCTCACTAGGAGACTTCCATCTCTGCTGTGGCTGCACTGCTGGATGCCTGTGATCCTGTGTTCACCACCAAGCGCTCTCGACTACCGAACACCTCAGCCACTAAAAAAAAAAACAATCAGAATTAAGCATCAAATTAATTAACTTTTTACCTGACTTCAACGTACAGCACAACTTAAGTGTCAAAGAAGAAAAAAAACTTTTACCTGCTGCAATGTCACTTATATTCCAAACCCTCAAACCATCCCTCTGTCCTCCAAAGGCATAGACGAAGGGCAGATCAGGGCAACATGAGGTGCAGAACAGCACTCCCTGTTCACAGGTGAGGAAGCACATTGTTATAACACCTCCAACAACCACAAACGCCATGAATTTGATAGGGCAAAATACCTCTACGACAGACTGCAACCCCTCAGCAACAGAGGTGAAAGAATCTGCAATCTATGTGCTGTATAAATTCTTACCATTTTCATATCCCGTGAGTGCACCAGATTGGGTTTGTTACCCAAAATGTCCCAAATTTTAACGTGTTTGTCGGCTGATGAGGTGACCAGGCATCCTTTGATCTGGCTGCTCAGGTCCAAACCTGCGGAGGAGTTGAGATATTAATCTCTGCTTTTTAATTTTGTCAATTTTCAGGATTATTCAGGATTGAATAAATCCTCCATCCTTCTATCCATTCTTTTTCTATGCACACCTATTCAAGCTCATGGCTGCATGATGGCAGAGCCTACCCACAGGTTTATCCACATTTCTCTATGAACAAGCAATATCAATCCATGCTCTCATCCTTCCTTAGGAAGGCCTCAGCACTTCTTCACTACAGAGAAACAAGTGACAATGCATTTGTGATGCTTAATTTATGATATACTGCACTGATGCAAGAACTAGAAATGAAGAAACAAAGCGAATCTGAACCTTGTTTTGATTGTCTCACACACACACACGCACACGCACACGCACACTTGTACCTACCTGACACCTCTTCATCATGTGCCCTCAGTGTGAAAACAGGTTTATCTGAGCGTGCGTCCAGACAGTAGACGAAACCATCCTCTGTGCTGGCCTGAAACACATTCAAGTTATGAATGACCAGTGACACAGCTAAATTCATAATTGCTATTTTTGGCATAATTGCTATTTACAACCATTAGAAGCACCATTCAGTGTGGTTGTGCTTTTGTATGATTATCATTCCTCCTGCACTGAAAACACACCCTGCAGAGAATATCTGTAATATGTGGCCTGAAGAAGAGATTCTTTTCTACAGACAAACTGGAAGTGTTACTCTGAAACAGTTATACTTGTTTACTTTCATAAACCACCATTCTATTTATAATTACCCCTTTCAAGTTTTTAAGATCAAGTGACTTAGAAATCACTTGATCACAGACATTCTCAGAGTTTTTCAAACAGAAGTGGTGGGACGTGGCAAAACAGACATAACACGGATTTGTAATGCGGCCGGTTTGCTAATCAAGTGGTAACACTAAGGTCAAGATAAAGTGGTAACAGCAACAATCTCTTTCAAACACACCCTCATTCTTGAAAGCACATTATGCTGCCAACATAAATTATGTCCTATTTGCCAACATTCAAAGATGTGATGTCTGACTCATTGCTGAAGGCATCACCACTGTTCTGTCTGAATGTCTGTAACTTGAAACAAAGTGTTCCAGTGGATCTCACGGTCATGAAAACAGTGATCACATTTTAAAATATTCACAATTAGCATGTGTCAGACATGCCTCTAATATTTATAAAAGGAATACGAGGTGAAAAACTTTATTCATATCTTGTCTGAGAGGAAAATTGTGAATCCCCGTAGTCTAAAAAGGCTGCTCACAGCTCGTCTTCCTCAAAATCCAGCAGGAGGCTTTGAAAACCTACCAGGAAGTTGCAGGGTGAAAAGTGGTTCCAGACCAGACGCTCAACTTGACCGCTAAACCTCCAGGTGCGGTAGCTGTTGTCTGGACTACGGCAGTCGTACAGGACAGCGGTCCTGAAAAGGGAAAATATTCATTTTGAATACCCTGTGAATGTGAATCTTTGTTTACAATATCAACTGTTTATTTCATTTCACCTCGTTCTATAAACTAGAGACAATATTAGATGACACTTACTTGTCATACGATCCTGATATCAGAGTCTGTGCCTCAAACGGGTGGAATGATATCGTCTGAACCTGAAAGATAAAAGCTCTGGGGTTGTAAAAATCCAATAACCATGGTGCATTACATGTAGCATCATCTGTGTTTTTTTAATTTTTTTTTTTATTAAATACCTTATCAGTGTGTCTGCGCAGAGTTGTGGCTGGTTTGCCTTGAGACAGATCCCACAAGATAACAGTGTCATCTGCTGATCCACTGGCCAACACATTCCTAAGTAAGAGAAGGTGTATGAGTTACATAACACACGTACACCTGCACAGTTATGGTACATAAACATACTATATAAAATCTCAAATAAAGATTAATTTACACTGTACATTTGAATATCAAATACTACATCAAAATAAATCAGTGAATGCTCCCGGGCCTCAGAGCACTGACCTGGCCAATCTGTTCCAGGATAAATCCAGCACTGCGTCCGTGTGCCCCTCGACAGGCTCTGCTGCTGCCCCCTGGTATCACCACATACAGACAGCGATGTGTTAATGACATCTAACAGAGCAGGAAACAATGCAAGGGAGCAGGTCTGACAATCTCTAACTTTCCGAAAGTGTCCACAGTTATTGTGCTATTTAAACAGTATGGCGTCTCGCCTCTCTCTATGATGGCGGGTTTTTCACTCTGCCTTCAAGTGTAACTGTGTTGAACAGCTAGAAAAACTTTTGCCTTCTGATGTGGTGTGACGACACGTAATAAAAACTAGTTCTTTTCACGCATTAACCTGGCTTTAAGAATTGTGTCATAAATGTAAAAAATTATTTCCCAAGTACTAAAAAAGACAAAAATTACTTCCAATCAAGTCAGCAAATCGTTTTATGAAAATCCTTTTCTCTATTTTTTTTAACAAGACTTTTACCAGACCGCACTCTCACCATACAGAAGCTTGTACACTATTACGAGACACTGAACAGGCTTGTACCTTCTTGCTCTTCTTCTTCTTTTTTGAGGCCTTTTTGCTCCCCAGGGAGAAGGCTGGCTCTAAACAGTCCACCACATCCAGGTCCCACACGTCTATCTGAGGAGTCATGTTGCCCACAGCGGCGTAGTTGGCTGCAGCACACACAGAGCAGATATTTTATTAATTGTAACGAGAGAAATCTATCCAAAAGATTAAGATACAGAGTCAAGGCTTTTCTTACCTGGTCCTTCTCCAGGGCTCGGGTCAAAGTTTAACCACTCCACACACAGTGGGTAAGCTGGCAGCAGAATGTCATGATGAACATACATAGAGTCCTCCTCTGAGTTGTAAACTGTAAAGTAAGCAATCAATTGTTAAATACTGAAGAATTCTATAATATAAAAAGTTTGCAATATGTTTGGGAAAGGATATAGTGATAAATTCTAATTTCTTAAACACTTTTCTGTTCAGAAGAATATTTACCGTAGATCTCCAAGTTGCAGCAGTCCTTCTCTGCTCTGCCTGCCAGGATGAGATTGTCACTGGGTTTGATTTGGAAGTCTTCTCTCTCATACTGGTCCTAGAGGGAAGAAAAAAAAAAAAAAAAAAAAAAAACACACAACACTAAGCAAGATAAATCTTATTCACACTAATGAGAACAATTGCTTTTCTTTAAGATGTTTCTTCCTAAGTTTAATAAAATAGTAAATTTAGCACAAGCGCTACGATGTCGTGACTTTTACACAGGTTTAATGACATTCCCGAACTGGCATGCACATTTTGACTGGAATTAAGCAGGATTTTCACAGCTTTATGCTGATGGTTTCACATAAGCACTGAGGGCACTCACTGTATCTTTGAGGGTGATGTAAGGATCCTCCTCATTGGAGCCGAACACTGTGAGCCCAGCAAGACTGTCGCCAAGACTAGCGGTTACTAAATTGAAGAGAAATAAACAGTGGATACTGGGTCAAGATTCTCAGTGAAGTTTAAATAAACACAAACGAACTGGGAGAACACAATGAGAAGAAATCGTTTAGTTTGGGGAGTAAATGCCAAAGAACACAGTACACAAAGACTCCACTCACCTGTATCTTCTTCATCATATTTATCCAGGTCGTACTCTGCCAGATCATCATCTTCCTCCTTTCCTTCTTCATTCCCATCCTTTGGAACTTCAGCAACATCTGCTGTAACGTTACTGGGATTCTCTTCTGAAGCGATACCCTCATCATCCTCTTCTTCCTCCTCCTCGGCTGCTAGTTCCCTGATTTCAATAAGTGGATTAAAAACATTGCATCAGCTTCAGCTGTTTGGCTATGTAGAGAGAATGGTAGCGCTCCATGTAGGGCTGCAACTTAGAATTATTTTCATCATCAATAAATTTGCAAATTATTCTCTCAATTTGGTTTGAACATACTTCAAAATGTGTTGCAGTTTCCCATAGTTACATCTTTAGATGGCTTGTTTTGTCTGACCAGTCCAAAACCCATATATTACAAAGAACAGCATCAAAATTTCATATTTGTCAAGCTGGACCAGATAATTTTAGTTGACAAAAAAAAAAAGATGTTAATTTTCAGTCAATCAAGTCATTGATTCATCAACTGCTCATTGTTGCAGCTCTAATTTTCTTTAGGAGCGTTTAAGCTTCTGACATTTGAAAATATTAACAATAACAAGAGATGGAGCAGAAGCACAAACTGAAATAATGAATGTGTTTTTCCCCCAACATACCCCAACTCCTCTTTTGCTTCAGTAATGATGCGCTGAAGCTCCTCTTGGCTTAACTCCACCTGAAGTGGAATTAAAAAAAAAGTGTCTCAAACAAGTTTTCATGTGCCTCAAGCTCTGATCTGACGCATGAAAAATAAAGGGAGATGGAGTACTGTATGACCAATTTTTTTCCTTAGCATTAACAGTTAAATCCAATTATGAAAATATATAACTTTAAGTACTAGACAAGGTAGCAGAGAAAGGACTGACTTTTCAAGGTCTCAATCTTAGAAGGAGTCTGTTGCTGGTATCATTTCCTTTTTTACAATTAACTTGCTGATCTTTCCTGTGCACCTAATTTTATTAAAGCGTTAAGATCTCCAGAAGGATGTAAATTAAATACAAAGTCAATAAATCAATAGTCAAAAAATACAAAACAAATTATAAGTGCACCAAAGAATTAAGGATGACCACTGTCAAAAAAAAGACTCACGGCAAACACCTATTAAACATACTATAGTTGCAATATTAGCAACAGTTGTGAGGGAAAATATAACCGATTATGTGTTATCTGCAACATGTTAATACTTCTTCTATTTCTTCAGTACAAGTGCAACATTTGTCTTGTCACTTTTGCCGATTTCCCAGTTGTAGCACTGTAGCAATTCAGGGTTTACAAATTTTATCTTACAATTTACACTTATCCTAATGTTCAAAAAGTCTCCCGTCTAGCTCAATCAGCTGTAACTGCTACTGCACAAAATGCGTCACATTATATTACACGACAGTTTTGTGTTGTCAGACTGAAGCGAAACATTACCTGTACCTAGAAATGTAAATTAAAGTCAAAAGCGTCAGAACATTTACATCAATAAAACAACTCAGTGTACCTGCCATGTTGACACATTAGCCGCAGGCTAACGTTAGCTTGCCCGACACGTTACTTACTTTGTCCGGGGTTTCCTTGGCAGCGCCTCGCCTCACCCACCCGACGCAAGTAATCTGGGAGCTCATACTGGAGAAACAGTGCGATTAATCAGATTGTTACGATAAAACCTGCAACTGGCTGAAACTGCTTCACATCAGGTATGCACACAGTGAGTGTACATGTGAGTTAGAATCAGTCCTGTGTCGCACCCGGTCGCATCTAGATGACGTCCTGAGGACGTTGAAAAATCTGCCTGATCAAAAATGTACTATAGCCATAAAAGTAAAACCCCATTGAACCCATACAGTGAGATGGGCGTCGTGATTTAGTAATCAAAAATTATTAAAGAATTGTGATTTGTGTTACAGGTCCAGTGTTTTTTCCTGGTTTTGCAGTTCAGAAACTAATATGATATAATATAATTTAATATAATATAATGGGCCAGCTGTTAGTCTGTGGAAAGATACTGACCTTAAGCAGCATATTTCTCATGTGATCTAGGCCACTCTGGGGAGGTGGTAAGAGTCAACAAACGTGTCCAACCTTTTTCCTCTCTCCACATAATCAGAGACAGTGATTAGTAGGCTTTCCTGTTTACATGATTATATATATCTACAGTAGTAGTAGTGTATTTTGTAGAAGGATTTGATAATTGTGTAGTGGTACAGCTATTTATGTACAGATATGGTTGCAATAACTTCTTTTCTTTTTATCTCATCTTGAGATAAGAGAAGTTTATTTTCTTGAAATGACAATATAAGCATCCTGTTACCTTGACCAACCAAATATTGTTGTGTCGAGAGAAATACAGTACACGTGTTGTGGTCTTAACTAATACAACAGATGAAGTCACATCCGGGAGATCTTGTTATTGATCAGTTTTTATTCTCACTTCACTGCAGTGATGTAGAAGTGTGCTGCAGGCATCATCAGTACAGTGTGATGTCATCGTTGAGCTGTATTTAAGGTGACAAGGAGCAACATCTGACTACATCAGAGGTGAAAGGTAGAGAGTTGAAATTAAACAAAACATAGAGAGAGTTTTAAAAACTTTAAAGTAAGAATTTAGAAACATGAAACTTTTTTTATAAAACATTTTAATGGCACTGTATAAAACAAAAAAAACAACAACAACAGAGAGATACATCATGAGATATTGCTGGTATGATACTGTTTACATACATGGTGGTTATAGTACTGTATTATTGCCTCACCTTGTGATTTAACTTTGTTAAATCACAAGGTGAGGCAATAATACAGTAGAGGTATTGGTCTCATTGGTATCAGCAAACACAGGAGAAGATTACTGTATTGCCTATATTACAAGATATGACAGGGTATGACATGCAGCCAAAACTCTGTGCAGTTGTCATGCCACAGGACAGGAACTTTAAAAAGTGCAACATGGATAAAAAAAGAGTTTAACTTTACTCACATCATCAGCTAAACCATTTCACTTGGCTATGATCATTTCATTTCAGTGAAAATATAGGCTAAATAGAACTGCATCAGGAGTAATGATGAAACTATTCTTGTGTATTGGTAAACTTGTGTTCATCAAACCTTTGACATGGTATCTGTCTTTAGTTTTTTGAATTGACAAAGAGGTTTAGCTTCCTGAATTGACTGAACTAAAAGTGAATTGTCTCTCAAGTACAGAGTGTAACCTGAGGAACATTGAATCAACAGATGTAGTTGAAGGTTAGTCCATGTCTATTCTAACTGCATGTGTCTAATGACTTTAGTAACATTATGAGCTGTCTGAAAGATCACCACAGCTTTTCAGTTCTAGTAATAGAGAGGAAAATGTAAAAAAAAGACACTTCATCAACTTTGGATTCATAGGTTTAACATCTTCCGTATATAATAATACTGATATATTAGGTCAGCATTTAAGTAAAACAGTCACCCAGCAGTGGCACTTATCCAGCAGTAGATTGCCTGTGTGTGAAAGCTCTGAGTGCCCGACATGCAGCTCAATGGACGGAGTGAGACACTAACAGTGCCAGAGCTACAGGCTGATATAGCCCAGCTATCATTTTATATAGTCATAAAATTGGACAACCCTTTGGGTAAAAATAAACATCAAATGTTTTGAGAAAAAAAAGTCCCAGCTCAAGGTCTACTTACTAGCTTTTTCCAGAGCTTTCAACCATATTGTTGAAAGCTTTTAAGCTAACACAGTTGAGGGGTCATATAAGTGCTATGGAAGAAATCTTAAAAGCTACAGGGCTTGAATGACAAGAAATCCATCTGCTGATAAAGACCATGTGATATAACCAAAAGCACTGGAAAAAACTATTAAGTTGACATTGTCTTGCGGTTTTTCATGCTAAAATCACCAAGTGGTTCATTTAGTGTGAAGATTCACAGTGGAAGGCACTGTCTTGACATCCCTGCCTCCCTGTGCTCTAACATCCAAACCAGGTTGGAAAAATTGATGCACAGAACATTCAGCCAGTCATTTAGCTAAATATGTAATCTATCTGCTAAACGTTTCATTTATTTGAATGTCAATGTTTGAGTTTTAGTGCCTAATACAAAGTTAAATAGATTAAGATTCAGTCCTGAATTCAAACTTGATCAATTATTATCAAATTCCAACTGTAACCCCTAAACAGGGACACCTAGTGTAAGGTTGTGCTGTCATAACAATTGTTTGTCCCTCTCCTAGTTTCTGCACTTGGTCTGTCAGCTGTCATTGGCTTGACATGAGCCAAACATATTGAGGGAGTCCAGAGTGTGAGGAGCTTGGTTAGGGATGAAGAGCAGACATTAGTGGTTTCTCCTTTCTTTGTCCAACAGCCCCTTAAGAAACTTCTGTCTTATTGGTTGCTATACATTTTCCATAACAAAAGTCCATACCTTATTTTGGGTCTTAATTTTGTCACTGGTTCATAAGGGGCTTTAAACAGATGTGGGTAGGTGCTGTGTAGTCATGTCAGAAATCAAGCTCCAGCTCTTCCATTGCCAGTTTCACCTCTGTGTCGTTGACAGACTCTTCGCCGAATGGTTTTAAACGTTTGGTCACCAGCTTGAGGTTGGTCTCATGGAGGATAACCTGGGTCAAGTATTTCTCTCGTTTGATCTGTTCTTTGACAGCGTACGGGACGTCTGGGATCATGTAGGACAGGATGAACTTGGTAAGGTAAACAATGTGCTGTGAGGAAAAAAATAGAGGAAGAAATCTCCATGAATATATTGCATTTAATAATATGTTTTTAGTATCAGGGAGGTTTCCTGTTATGTTTATACTCACCTCTACAACAATTATAAAAGCCATTTTTGCTGCAACCACATGCCAGTAGTAGACATTGTGCTCATACTGTCTGGGGTGCCCCGGAGGATACCGAAAATCTCGATACCTAAAAAAAGAAAAGTTTTAGGTTTCTTTAAGAACACAAACATTACTTGCGATGCAACTATTCCTGACACCAGTCATCCTTTGAACTCACCGTTTTATTTTACATACAGTATGTCTTTCAAGTGTCTGCATATGATGATGCTGTCTTCTGTCCAAAAATTGTTCATCAAACCATTATCTCTGATCTTTTTTTGCAATTTACGTACATAAACTTCAATTGTGTAGGAGCTGGACAGCTGGCTCTGCTCGAATGCAAAAATATTACTGTGAAACTCAAGAGTTTTGTCTCTCCCAATATGTTGTATATGTATTTAGGGAGTAGTAAATCACATTAATATTGTAAATAATATCTTTAGAATTAAGTGGGATCATGTATGTGTCCATTCATGTATATAAAAAACAGAATTAGGAAAGCTTATACTTTTCTAACTAAAACTCAGAGTAAAAATAATTACATTTGTTTTAACTGTGCAAGAGACATTTTTCAAATGGATGATAGTTAAAGTGAAAACTCAGACGTGGTGTTATTTTACAAACTAAATACTGCACACAATGATGGGCCAATCTTTGTACCTGCAGGTGGTGATGAGGCCACTCTCTGTAGCGGGGACGCTGGACTTGGAGAAATCGCTGGTGTTGAATATAGACAGCGAGCTGTCGATATAGCCCTCCATAGTGTTATTGGAGTGATCTCCATATGGGTACACAGAGAAAGACCAATAGTAGACCAACCGTGGAATCATGTCTGATGTAAAAGCAATGATCATGGCCTGTTGAAACACCAAGACACTGAGTTAATGTAGTGAAAACAGAAAATGTTTATGTCACAATCATAGTCAGTAATAGTAATGTAAAAAATGTAATTTTTTCATAGCTTCTGGCATTTATTTCTGCACCAATCATATGAAACTGATGTGAGAAAGCGCTTTCGTAAAGCTTATGTTTTTCAGTTGTTTTTTTTTTTACAATAAGGTTTAGATTCAAATACATGGTTATTGTTGAGACTGTAGTTGATTGCTGTATTTCACTGGACTACATTACACTGACAAAGAAACTGACAAATCTTCTTTGCAAAAGTAGGATTTACTGAAGTGTTTTGTTTAGAACTGTACCTAATGAACTAATTCAGTGTAAACAGTTACTTACATTTGTTGCAACAGCCAAGATGGCGATGCCCTGAAGAATGGGTTGCCAGGCTCCTATGTGCTGGGCCTTTTCTGGCATGACGCGGCGGAACTGAGTGGTGATTTTCCAAGCATCAACCCGAATCTCAAACAGATTGTTGACCAGAGCCAGGACCGGCGCCAGAGGGAAGGAGGCCACAAACAAGGTCACAAAGCCAAACTGGATGACTGTGAGAGACAAGACACATGTAAAAAGGACTATCAAGACTACCCAGGATTCAGTTGCTGCTATTTGTATAGTGATTACTTCTTGTGTGAAGAAATATTGAGGTTCTCCTCTAAAACCACAAATTGTTGTTTTGGTATTTTTATTTGAATTGTGCAACATGCTAATTAGAGAACTTTAGAGGTGTTAGAGGTAGGCGTACATAGACTGTATGGTAGGTGTATTTATGAACTTTGGACAACTAGCCAGTGAGCTGTTTCCCAATGCTACCAGTAATTATGCTAGGCTAAACTAAAATAAACTAAGCTGTATTAAGCCATTGTATTTCCCCAAAATATCAAAAATATTCCTTAACCAACATCATTAAGCAGTATTTTAATATTTAACTCAAATTTCAGTTCAAATATCTCAACCATTATCCATATTACCACTGGGTCATATATTAGCAAGCTAGTTTTGTCAGTTAGCTCAGTTAGCAATGCAACAGTTGCCCCTGGTGTAAACATTTAGTAGCATCTAACCACTACTGTATGTAAGAAATACTTTGTGTGGTACAACCTGTTTTCTGATTTATGTACACACCCCACTTAGTAAACAACTGCATTATAATCACACAAACTTTGAATATGTCTAACCATAAATGTAACAGACAAAAGGACTGAAGAGAACTTTTTTTTCCCTCTTACCCATTTCAAGATATTCATAGAACAGTCCTAGTTTTGAAACGGGCTGGAGCTGGTAGTCCTGCTCCCAGCGAGGAATCACCTTCTCGGACGCCACACGAGTGCAGTAGCGGAAAATCAAATTCTTCACCCACCTGCAGAGAGGTGGACGAGACAGTCAACAGTGACTCAGTGTGACAGTGGAGGTGATGTATGATTAGCCCTGTTAGCTCACTAGCTCATTGTCTTACTTAATTGTATTACTGTATTTTTTGCCTGTTTTATATTTGACAAAAAGGAGGTCTTAGATTCTGACTACTTACGGTAGCAAGACCTCTTGGATGTTGTTCCAGATGGCTTTTCCACCCATGATGATGGCGAGCTGAGTCGTCAGCTCAAAAAGACAACCGCCAGGATCACACTGTGGAAACAAGACACAGATTAAGACTGAAAAATAACAAGTGAGTAAATTAAACACACAACAGGTAGATAGACAAATCCTACCTCCTCGTTACGGTATTTTCCCAAAAGATAAACAGGCTGTCCGGGATAGCTAACTGCTTTCCCTTTGGCGAAGGCGATGTAGAAACAGGAAGAGTAATAGTTGACAAACTGAAAGAGGAACATCTTCAGGGTTAAGCTGTTCTCGTAGTCTGTCTTGGTCCGTGGAAGTTCTGTTATCGTGTGTCAGATAACAAAGGGTTTGGGATTAAACGTCGTTCAAGGAAGGAAAAGGGCAGAAGTACAACTCAAACTTACCAAAGTCAGTGATCCAGATGGCGACGCGCTCATAGAGAATGTTTAGGATCATAATTACGACAAAGCTGATGAGGGAAGCTGTGACAGCAGTGGCCATCTGAGGTGTCACGTACTCCTTTAACGGCTCCAGCTGCTTCAGATCCTGATTTCTGAGTTTCTTTGAGAAAGCGAAGAAGACAGCCAGGCGGTAGACAATGATGGCCACAATGGATGCCAGAATCAACAGGATCTAAAGGAAAAAGAACAGTTATACAGATTAATGCACATTGTGTTTTTCGACATTGGAAAAATAATGCTTTATTCTGTGGCTCAATCTTTGAATAATTTTGTAATCATTTCCAAGTCGTTTCCTGGAAAGAACTACAAATTTGGTGCTAATTATAGGCAAAACAGAGACGATGTTCAACTACAGCACTTTAAATTAATAAATTAGATAATTAAAATAAAAATAAAAGAGTGTTTTAGTCACTCCACACATGTCAATTCAACGTGCGGATAGTACACGATATGTTATTTGTCAACATGCAAGCATACAAGTCCTATAATAAATTAGTAATGGATTTACAGAAACCTCATGGGAAATTGTTACAGAATTACAGACTGGTATTATAAAAGTGTTACCAAAAAGTAAACTGAAATAAAAATGGCATTTATTTACATTACCCAGAATAGGACTGTCCCCATTCCTATCGACACCCGAACACATCGTCCACAGGCTGTATAGGGCACTTTTTCTTTCACCTATATCACAAACAAACACTATGAAACACTGGGCTTTAACAACATGGCATGACTTTGACTGATTATGTGTATTTAGTTTCCCCAAGAAGTTTATCCTTTTTGAACAAAACAGAAAACTTGTTTGAATCCATATTTTCAAACCACTGTCATATTTTTAGTTACACAACAATATTCTGACAATGGGATCTATTATCAGCTGCAAAATGAATAAAAATAAAACCAAAAAAAAAAAGAGCCTTTGTATGTGACTTACCCCTGTGACAGGATTTTTCCTCTCATAGATACACTTGGCCTCATACTCTGGGCGAGGTGGCTCTTCCTGCTCCAGAAACTCCACCGTGTCCCACTCGTACTCCAGCTCCGCCTGGTAACGCTTCCAAAACTCCAGGAACAACGTTACTGCGGGAACAGGAAAAAATAAGCGGGGCAATAATGAGAAAGACGGAAATAACTGCACTGTAAATTCAAACATCGCTTTCCCTTTAGTACTTCCAAAGATGAGGACAAAATAAAATGTAAGATTATCAGTCATAATTACAGCTGGGGATATTAGCATGCCTGCATATGCTCTGTGGGAATGTTTTGAAATGATGAAAGTAGATATATTATTGAATTTATATAAAACTTACCCCAGATTGACATGAAAACCGCAAACACCAGGGTTCCATAGTTATCAAATATACAAAGTTTCTAGGAAAAAAAAAAGAAAAAAAGGAGGAAATAAAGAAACACTGTCACATTTTTATCCGGCTGACATGCAAATCAGTTCAAAATGTAACTGCTGCTGTGCCACTGAAGAACAACAGCAGTCACACTCATTTAAATATGTAAATCATTGAAGTGGATCTTCCACTGTTGCAGTAAAGAACTGTCTTCACAACAAGGCCAGGAGAAACTATTCAAATATGAAACGAAACATGAAGTTCACAAGAGGGAGATCACACTGATCTGTTAGAGATGTAATGTTTTCGGACAAGAAGGGAAAATCCCTTTATACTATAACATAATAAATACCATGTTTAAAAGCCTTTTGCTCACAAAATCTTACATTTTTACAGGATGTAAGCAAAGTTTTTTTTTCCATTTAGGGCATATTGAGTGACATCAGTAAGTTTTATAAACATATTCTGCATATTTGGCTCATGTTGAAATAAAAAAAAAAAAAAAACACTTACTTTGGAAGATTCACAAGTGGTGTTTAACCTCCAGTAATTGCAGAACCTGTCACACTGTGGACACATCACTATATTTCCTCCAATCTCTGGGTCGCACACCTCTTTGCTGCAGAACAGAGAAAGTGAAATGAAGCATTTGTAAAGAAATAGTTTTGCAGCACAGAGATAAACAGGTGAAATATGAATGAATGTTGCACATAAACAGAAAAATAAAGTGTCCTTTTTAAATAAACAATACTGCAAAGTAATTGCTGCTGGTTGATCTCCAATGATTATTTTGACAACTTTTCAGTTTTCAACCACACTTCATGGTCTTCATCAGCGGTTGCAGTTTGCTCGGTTGTCACGGAGACAGCTCACTTGACCTAAGTATAGAGCGAGAGAGTCACCTGGTGACAAATGAGGCATCTCAATGACAGCTGAGCAAAATCCATCCACTGATGAAGGAAAAAGGTAGTACGTTTTTAAACTAACTTTGATACAAAATAAAATAATGATGGTTGAACATATAATGAGTTCGTCGACAAGATCTCAAAATGTTCCAGGAAGTGTCTACAGGGAAATGTACCTCCAGGTGCTGGTTTCTTGAGTCTTGTATCCATAAATGAAGCAACCCAGTCCCACAGCAGCAGCCATAGTGAGCATTATTGTGTAGAAACCCAACCAGGCAAAGTAAATGCCAATCTTCTCCCCATAATACTTCCTGTGGAAAAGAAAAGGTTGTTTCTCAATGATAACTACTGTCATGAAAGAGTTCCAGTATCCTTCAGATCATTTTTCTCAAAAAAAAAATGTTTGTTATGTTCATTTTTGTGAACATAAAATGTTCACCTTATGAGGTCGAGTGGTTGCATCTTGTAGAAGCTTTTGGGATGAGCCCATTCTTCATAGAGCAGAAATCTCTCGTTGGGACAGCCCTCTTCTGTGGACCTGACGTTGAACCTGCACTGTAACAACCAACAGAGGAAATAACTGTGCATACACATACTATATGCATATTATAGGACATCATATACTGTGAAACTAAAATCACCAAAACACTACCGTATGCAATTAGCTACACAAAACAGACATAAACTAAAAAGTGCCACTCACGTCATGGAGGGGATAGGCAGCTTTGTACACTCCACCATCCAGTAGTTTGGTGATGCCAAACTTCTTTATATTTCCTCTTATTTCGTAGGGGGCCCGACTCAGGATGTAATATGCCTGGGAAAAGAAATTGTCAAGTTATGTTTATGCTACCAATCTGTTTACATACTTAATGCTATTATAGAATCAGTTGGGACAACACAGATAACATGATTTCTGTAACTTCAACAGGGCTCTTCCTGAGCTGCTCTTATTATATTTATAACATCAGCTGTTGCGCACAGGATGTTTACAGCCCAACAGGGATCCTTAACCGACGTCATTCCCAAAAAAAAGATAGTAAAAAGAACACGTGGGAGGCCTGAACTGACTGCAACAACATGTGAGAACTTGCCATCCTGCTCCTCATGGACGGAGTGAAGAAGACATCCTTGTCCTTAATGTAGAAGTAGTCCAGACGGTCTTTCTCAAAGGGGGCGGTGAAGTACTCCGTCTCCTTGCTGATCAGCTCCTCGTTGGGGTAGAAGTGCTTGGTGATGCAGGAGAAATAGCGCCACGGGGAGGGGCGGGAGGACAGGTCGTTGGGCTGGATCGGGAGCTTGATGTGCAGGACCTCGGCGTAGGTGCACAGCACCTCCCATGGCATGTGCACCTTGACGAACATCAGTTTCTCATCTATTACCTGCAGAACACCAGGAGAGTTTAGTTGAAGGAAAAGAGAGCGAGGCGGGAAGAGAAACAACAGTTCAGTGTTGAGTGCAGTCCACGTACAGATTGAGTGGCCTCCAGCTCCACTCCCATCTTCATCAAGCTGGCCTCAAAGTACTCTCGCCGTCTCTGCAGAGAAGAACACAGGAAAGGGTCTCAGTGAGCTTCTTGTTTTAATGCGCACCCCTCCTCTCTCCTCCCTGGACATTATTCATTTTCTGTACCAGATGTCAGCCTATTGTGGTTATATGCATGACTCAGTGTATGGTCAAAGCCAGCAGAGTAAATTTGAATGTACACAGAAGTGTTTCAGGAAGACACAACAGAGTCTTATTTCTTATTTCTATTGTGGTATTTAATGTAGAGAATGTGTCTATTCGCACATTATCACCTTGATCACCTTTATGTGATCCAGTATCATCAATATTGTTGTTGTGAGATTACCTTTAAGCTCATTAAAGAGTTAACAGCTCATTTACTTGAACAAATTTTTCCATTTCCATTTCCACAGCACTGCCATTATTTACACTGTACATAAGCCCCGTGAATGGAAATACTGCCAGCAAGTCTGTGCAGGTTTGTGCAGGTATATCATAACTAAATGCAAGAGCCAAAAAGCATGCTGCAGAGCACTGTATCTGTTAAAAGAAATATGTACATATATATATATATACATATATACTGTATATATATATATATATGAAAAACATTCAAGTAATAGAAAAAGTAGCTCATCAAATTATTAAATCTTGTTCCAAGTGCTTTTAGACATTTTGATAAATTGATCCAGTTATCATCCAAGAGAAGTCAGTGCTTCTGAGTGAACACAAACTTCAATGTGTCACCTGTATGTTTACATATCTATGTCAACCCTGTTCTGTTGAAAAATTTTAGTCAAAATTCTGCTTTAGTCAAACCTGTTTTCATGACGCACAGTAAATACCACAAGTGCATGGAAATTTTAGACAAGCATAACGGAATATTATACAACAGCAAATTCAGCATCATTTTAAACTAACAATTTATCCAACACTATCTGAACTGATCCACCCCCTTCCAGCAGTCAAGATTCTGGGCAGAAAAAGAGATGAAGTCATGGGTGTGGCCGGTGGAGACCGCTGCACACCTCATCTCTCTCTTGACTTGAGTTTGGCTTGCCGTGATTATGAACGAGGAATTGCCTCAGTCTCAGAGAATCTGCGGCGAAGAAGCTCACGAGCTCTGACTTGCAACGACGGTCTTCAGCACTTGACTCATCATCTTCCCGAGACGGTTGTAAGATTTGTAAGGAATGTCTTCACCCTTTACCTCCATTCATTCCTTTTCCCATTTACTGATTTCGGATTTTAGCCTTCTCAGGTTTACAGTTGCGACACCGCAGTTAACAGCCTCTAAGGTCTGTGGATCAACAGTATTTCCAAAGCATTGTGTTGCATATTGCACATCCCTCACTGTAAACCTATTGTGAAAGGTGTGGGTAGCAAAAAAAACAACCTGGGTATGTCAGCTCATGTCTCAGTGTCCTTTGTTTGTACATTTCAATCCCTGCACAGATCACTGACATTTAGATTTGTGATGTGTCAACAAAAAGTAGGTGGCACATTAAATATTTATGTTTTTAATGACACAGCAGAAGCATGAAATTACTCTCCATTCCGTGAAAGTTTCAGATTTCTGTGCTGAGATAAATTTGGCTAAGATAATAATAAGTCAGACAGAGTTCAAGCTTAGACGGGGAGACTTATGACCAGACTGATCTGGTTTGATTGAAAGAGTACCGCTCTTCATTTCCGTGTCTTCCCTCTAAGCAGCAGCTGTACTGAATGCATCACAGCTAAAATATCTGTGTTGGAAGAATGTCAAGTACAGTAGAAAGGACCTACAAAAACAAGGCATGCTCAGCTGTTCTCCTGGATAAGAAAAAGCTAAAGTGATATTTAAGTCTTTACACACTGTGCTTGAATATTGACCGTCACGATTAATTAATGTAACGTCACGGTCCGCCGTCCTGGAGCAAATAAAAACTCCCTTTACAAATAGGCAAGAGTCAATACACTTTGTATGTGTAATAATACATACAAGGCATGTTGGACTTCACTTGACCATATATTTTCTTAGGAGTAGTAATGAAGATTTCACAGTCAAATGTGTTTTGCATATGATTCATGTATGGCTTCATGACTTTAAACTGCAAACATAATTACAAAATGTCATTTCCATTGTGTTATTCATTAAGACAAATAATGTGCTATCAAACTTTCTTTAAAAACTCTAAATTTAAGATTCAGAGCTTAATTGTCATCTCTGTCATATTGTCACTTATTTGTATTTCAGTTTTCTAGTCGCCTAAGAGACTTGGAGCTTTGACTGTGTAATCTCACCTTCCCTAGTTCCAGTCCGGCTGTGGACCTTTATTGCCCCGCCACTCTCTCCCCACATTTTCCTCTTATCTCTCTACTCTACATCAAAAAAATGGCAATTAGTATTGTCACATACAGTAGTACAGTATAGTTTTATGTGAGCACCATTTGAAATATCTGCGGCTGTGATATGATATACTGTATCCAAACAATCCAGCTTAAAGACATTTAAAAAATGCTACCTTTCGACGCTGGAAGGTGTGCCTCTTCTCATAATCCTTTTTATCCTCATCCTCGTAGACCAGGATGAAATCGATCCGCCTCACGCCATCGTTGAAGAACAAGGAGTCGGGTTTGTTGTTGAACTCTGCCTGAGGGCAAAAATAAGGCTTATCGGGCAATTCTGTGGGCTGAAACTCGTACTCCTCTTCCTCCATAATGTCATACATGTTGAACAGAGAGATGCGAGGACTGCCAGTGAGCGGAAAGCCTGCGCAGAGATATACTGTTAAATACTGACCTTGACCGGCCTATTTAACCTGTGATGTGGGCCATGCAGGAGAAATGGGAAGAGTCACCAAACATTGGGACACCCGCCCTTCGTCTCTCTCTCTCTCTCTCTCTCTCTCTCTCTCTCTCTCTCTCTCTCTCTCTCTCTCTCTCTCTCTCTCTCTCTCTCTCTCTCTCTCTCTCTCTCTCTCCACACAATCAGACTTGTGACACCACTCAGGAAGTCCTTGCAGGCATATGTAACTACTTGCATGATTTGATATCAGTGTGTTTTGTGGAGTGATTTGGCAACCGTGTCTCATGATGCAACACCTGCTAAACATTTCTTGATATCTCTTGGGTTGTATGTCATGATCATTAATAATCTGAATGACTGCGCTGACTCACCAGTTGTGTTTTGGTTATTCTTGTTCCTTCTTTAATTGAGTGATATGTTGGTAAAAACTCCTCGGGATAAACTGTGGAGAAAAAAACAAACAAACAAAAAACAGATGAGACACATGAATGGGAAAACACATATGATAATGATCAAGAAATCCCAAACTAAAGCCTGACTGACAGAAGATCGGGTTGATATCATCATGTTGTCATCACAGATGAATCATTATCAGCTTGTATAAAATGCATGTATAAAATTTGTTTTGCATTCAAGAATTTTTATGCGTATTTGTTTATGTATATTAAATATGTATATAAAATCCTGTGATATTGAAATCTATTGTTCAGCTGTAAGAAATCTGGGTGAATAGGTCATTTGCTGATTTCTACAGGTCTGATCTTTTATTAAATTCTAGTTGACATTTTTCACCATGTATGATCTTAAAACGGCAACACATCAGCCAGAGAGAGGATTACTGATTATCTGACAGCAGTGTGGGCAGTTGAGCCATTTGTTAACTTTTTACTGACGTATTGTAAGAATGACTGCCTCTGCAAATATATTATAAAAATATTTCACAGATTGGTAATATTCTATTGAGATTCTACATTATGCTGTACATTTGTATTAAAAACACAGACTGATAAAAAGTTATTTTTATTATAATCGAGGGCAACTAGACTATAATTGATAAAACACATGCTGTAAATGGCTCCAGTTGTATTTCTCAATTCATTTCTTGGAAGTTAATGATACCAGCAGCTGAAGTGGAAAACCAGAGAGCTGACTGCTGAAGCACATGTTCTGAAGCGCCCTTTTGTGAGAAGTACATTATTATGTGTGGTGCCTCCCCTGGATCACCTGTGTGGAACGGACCTTATAAGGTCACATCGTCACACATCCAGTAGAGCTGCCATTTATCTGCAGTTGAGCTGAAGCTGTGTTTGTTATGACATAGAAACCTTGTTCCAATGAGCACACAGCTGTTTCAACCCCCCCCCCACCCAAATGTGCTGCTTTATTTGAACCTGTCCCAGCTCAGCTAACGAGGAGCTAATATGACACAGCAGGTACAACTCTGTTATGTTTACACAAATTAAAAAGCAGCTGACATATTGTTATATTTTATTACTTTCAACTGTCTCCCTCGGGCTCTAATATTTACCTAAACTTTATTCTTTATGCATATGGCTTTTTAAACCCTTACACTGTGAGTCAGGTGTAATATCAGCTTTTTTTCATTCTCATGAAAAAGGTTTAGCGCTGATTAGTGAAGGTTGACGTGGCCGTAGACTCTGTCACGTTTGATCTATATTTGCCAATGAATGTCACCCTCATGTTTGTCCCACAGCTACGTTCTCACCAGGAAACTGACCAGGACAACATTCACATTCTCACTGCTCAGTGAAGCAATACAGACTGTTACTCCTTTCCAAAACAAGTCTGAAGGTTTGACTCTCCCCAGTGACTCTCTTGTTACAAGCTTATATCCCTAAACGTTTTTGCTGTTCCGGCTGCTTTTTTACTGGTTGCAGACAATTGCCCACTCACCACAATGTTATATTACTCTCTGGAAAAAAAAGAAAAACAAAAGAAAAGAAATAGGTCACCGCCTACTGCAGTGCATTCACTCTGACCACTGCAATGTTTCTGCAGAAATTCATTAAGCATTGAGTATCAACACTGTTAGGAACCTCGTAGTTGCATTATAAGTAACTTTCTTCATGAAGCAGATGACACATCATCCAATGCGGAAAGTCCTGGATTATTTATTTCCATTTAAAGTGGAACACTGGGAGGAAACTAACTGAAGACAGATGTTGTTTTCAAAACACTATAGCCATAGAAACACCCTGGGAAACCTTAACTGTGGAATCACTGCTCATCAAACAAGACTTTTCCCTTTACAGTCCCACAAACAGCAAAACACTTCTCCCTCTGGTTGTACTAGAAGGTCAATGAACCAGTAACTAAAAGAACTGCTAATCCTTACTGACTTTAGGGTATTCTTATTTTGATACCCCTAGATTAGAAACTGTCTGGAGTCTTTATTCACTTTTGTAAATTGACATACAGAATAATTGGCCTGAATCGTCCGGGTAAACTGTATCGTCACTGTAATATCACATGTAAGGTAAGGATCTAATGTATAAGAAGATTTAAAGGAAAAAAAACAATAAATTCCCCCTTGCACAGTGTTTATATGTTTAAGTTGCTGCTGTCAGGATGCCATTTTTATTTTCTACTCTTACTGCTTTGCTCTACAGAATGAATAAAATGTGTACCAACTGAGTCATTAAACCCAACAGACACAATATCGCGAAACCCCTGTGACCTATACTGCCTCAGTCTGATTCATCTGAAAAGCATGCAGCTGAATCTGTGCCCATGTGCCACCAGCGATAGAAATCTGCTTTCTTGCCACAACCCACCCTCCCAGCCAGCTCTCACTTCCTGTCAAGAGTACATCCTCCACCGCAATAAACAAAGTACAAAGTAATAAAAACAGAAGCAACCGTGCCAAACTGGATTCCTTCAATTGTTTTCTGCAGCATTAAGGTGCACGATGCACCTTTGTATTTAAACTCAGGGCTAACATTTGAACGCATCAACTCGTCAAGTTGAATGCAAGCCATAGCCCAGTGGTGTCCTTCTCACCATCTGACAGGAAATTCTTCTCTGAATCAAACATGGGGGCATATTGTGACATCTGTTAGAAGTCCTGTGTAATGTTTTTCCCCTCTAAGATCTTGCATTGGTAATAGTAGATAGTGGCTGTAACTGTGTGTTTTGCATGTGAAACAGGATCTCTGGTGACTGCTTTTCTCTGAATTATCCTTCCAGCAGGGGATGTCATAAGAGTAGTTCAGTAATATGGGTGAATACATCTTCATAGGGGAACGGCACGGCAGTACAGTGGTTAGCACCGTCGCCTCACAGCCTGTGTGGTTCCCGCTGGGTACATTAGGTTAACTGGCGACTCTGAAGTGGTTGTACCCTGCTCTTGGCTCCAGCCCCCCCACGACCCTACAAGGATAAGCGGTATAGATAATGGATGGACATCTTCATAAAAAAACTTAGCTAACCTCCGCTGACCTACAGTAACCTCTCAGATCTGTGTCAGGACAGGCTGTAGCAACAGGCTGCAACAACAAACAGTAAATAAGAGTAGTAGAGTAGAACAGTAAAGGTGATTTCCTGAATTACCATAGTGGTAAAACAAACCGTACATGTATTATTTGAGCCAGTCCATTGCTGTTTACACAGGCTGCAATAAAGAGTCAACATTAATAATTCAGTGTGAAAAGCGATAATGGTGGTAATTTCCATATGGTCAAGGCCTTTTACAAATGACTGGCAACTGTTAATGGTAACCCTCAAGAACATTTGTCTTTAGGTGAGTATGTCACTGTGGACAAGACAGACACGAAGGCGCTAACAGATGGAGAAATCGTACACCATAAAATACAAGAGTTGGTACTGACATCTGTTTTTAACGTGTGCTTCAAGAGACGGGCCGGAGTTTATTTTGTTCGAGGGTTAAGTGGTGGCTTCAGCTGGTATCGTGAGGAATGTAAAACATGCAAGAAACAAAAGAGTGTGGAGGGATGCCATCACTTCACTGTACACACCACGTCTATGAAATAAACAGGAATTTTAGATGTATTTGTTCAACTGGTGATAGAGTAATATCTGTTATCTATGTTCTTTTATGTTGCAGATACGGTGGTGTGGACTTGTGCCTTGTCAAAAATGTGCACACCACACCCCCACTGCTGTTGAGCACAGTTGTTGTGTCACATATGTTTTGAGCGTCAGACAGACTCCCACTACTCACAGCTTCATTTTCTCATCATTTACTTCGACTGCATCTACCCTTTACAAAATGATAACACAAAGGGACTTGTGTTTCGTGATGGCAGAAATGTGAAAACAGTATTGTATTCGTGTTAGGACATCAAGCAACTCTCAGCAGCACAGACTGTTCCAAAAGCAAAAGCATTCATTAGGCAGCTACATGGTGCATGTCAGTGTTACACTACTTATTATAACTGGTCTATCAACCTTTAGCCTGCATTTTAATGCCATAGCTGCTCAGGTAGGAGCTTATTTTAACTGTTGGTTAGTTTAATTTAACTGCAACATACTTTTTTAAGATTACCATATGTATTGTTTGCACAGTCTAGATTGTCAAACTATTAGAAACTGTCTATTTAAAATAAATGCAATGGAAAAATACAATATTTCCCTCTGAAATGTGGTGTAGTAGAAAGAAAGAAATACTCAAGTAAAGTACAAGTTTCCCTAAAGTACTTAAGTATCTACTACTTAAATATCATAAGAATAAATATACTTGATTATGGCCCAGTAGTTAAAAGTTACACCCATTAAAGCATCACTGTGTAAACTGAGAACAAACTGTAGAGTGGAGATGAATGAGTCGGTGGTCACATTCCCAGACATGAGACATGAACCACAAATGTCTTAAGAAAGGAGTAGTTCTCTCACCGACTTCCTCGTCTATCATGCCAAGTTCAGTATCACCCTCCAACTCTCCTGTGTCAGAGACGGAGTCCATCTCGAAAATGTCGTTTTCGCTCATAGTTCCAGTCGCAGCTTTAAAAGTTTCACCCACAACATGGAGTAAGGCCTAAATCACAGTGGTTTTATCGCGCAGCCCCGTTCCTACGCGCATTCTTGCCTTATTTCTCAACATCGATTCATGCACATGAAGTTTTGTTCAGGTTGTGACTTGAGAGGACGGGGAAATCAAACGGGTGGGGTTGGAGGTGGAGAAGGAGGAGGGTGATGTTGTACAGCCACATTTGACACATCACGTTACGCCCACATTACATTCTTTAAACGTTAGCTCTGTGGAGAATCTGCAGATGGGCTGGCTTCGGGGACTTATACCCTATGTATTGTACAATAGTACGATTGTAAAATATACAATGCAACAGCATGTAGCATCAGACAGTATATCGCTGTGGACAAGACAGATACAAACCCGCTGAGGCCTTGTTGGTCCATATGGCCCCACATTTTAGAATAGATTGTGAACATATGACGTGAAAGCTATGGGGAAAAATCATATTTATGAAAGAAATATGAATAAATAGACAAGGTACTAATGTAGAATAAAGAGTGATTGGGCCATATGATAACACATTTTAAAATAGTGAACCCCTCAGTCACATGACATGAAAGCTATATTGAAAAAAATATGAATAAATAGTACTAGTCTACTCTATGAATAAGGTGTCCTGTTTTATAATAGCTCCAACGTCATGTGAGTCATTGGTTCACATTATAAACTGTAGTCACATGGCCCAAAGAGGACACAGTCCTTTATTGTATAGTAGCACTTTTTCTATTTAAAACATACAAAATATTATTCATAAATGCTGTATTATGATTTTTAATAGCTTTCAGGTCATGTGACCCTGTGGTTTTACAATCTATTTTAAAATGTAAGCACATGGTCCAAAGAGGGCGTTAAAGGGTATTAGTCTCAGGAAAAGCAGGACAGCTAGCTGTCCTCCTACTGCAAACACCATGGGAAACTTAATGAAAAAAACCTGCTGAATCCGGAGTGAATGTCCGTCTAACATCCAACTTCAAACTAAATTCACCTGGGTATAACGTACATATTGATGCGGGTTAGGAACCGTCTAACAGTACGGCCCAGCAACTAGGGGAAGGAAATCGGTGACGGAACACCACTGGACATATTTCCGCCAATAACAAACCTGCAACGACTCACAAGTGCATTGTTTGTGTTAGTTATTTCGAGTGCGTAAACATAGTTCGGTAATTATTATTTGGAAGTGGGTTAAATGGAAAAGACCAATCTTTGTGTTACACCAATGCCATGATGGGTAAACGTCCGTGTCGACGGTAGTAAACGTGAATCAGCAAACAAATGATTCCGCCTTGTGTTAGCTAACAGGCTAAAGCGCCGCACTGACATGCTACTGTAGCATCTGGAGTTCCTGGTGAATAACATGTCTTGAGACTGTTCAGGTCCCTCGCTTGGAAGCCAGAGTTTTAGTTTCTTAGTTAAAACTTGATCTAAAGAGAGCAGACACAGTTTCCAGTCGGTTCAGATCATTTCCTGACCGCGAAGCGTTCAAGGTTTTTCCCAGGTGAGTTAACATTGACTGACCAACAGGGAGTATGTAGAAATGTTTACGTATATCAGTGCACACTGACAAAGGCAACCAGTTTTTACATATGCTTAGTGTTTAATTCACACTGACCATGTTCTAGCTCTTGGTTATGTTAGCTGTGTATATGAATTTATTTAAATTATGTATAAATTTAACTTATTTATGTAAATTCTTCTGGGTTTTAACTAGTGGCTGCCTCTATATCTTTAAACAGTGTATTGCTGTGTAAAATGTTGGTGGGAATACTTACAACATATGTTGCTGGTTATGTGTCTAAATAAGTATGAGTTGTATAAACTATCAGACTTAAATTTACAAATTTATCCCTAATTATTAATTATTATTAAGGGGAACATCAGATTTCAGTTTACATAAGGCATAGACATTGCAGCCTTAAATTAAGTTAAAAATGACAACTTCAGAAGTACTGCAAGACAAATGTACACAAAGCTTTATATTTGTGTTTTTTTTGTTGTTTGTTTTTGCTATCCTTTCAGATCAGCACATACTGCAGATTTGTAAAATGAAGATGTTCTCAGTGTCCCACAAGACGGTCTTTGTTGTAGACCACTGTCCCTACATGGCCGAGTCAAGTCGTCAGCAGGTAGAGTGTGATGTGCTGACAAAGAGTCGAGCTCAAGGGGTGATTCCTTTGGCCCCTGTGTCCAAGTCCCTGTGGACCTGTGCTGTTGAATGCTCCATGGAGTACTGTCGGATTCTCTATGATGTTTATCCAGTGGACAAACTGGTGAGATTATTATTATTTTTCTTAAAACTTTGCCTTAAATGTCATTAACGCCATTTCCATTAACCTTTTCTACCACCTCTTTATTCTACAGGTTAATTACATTGTGAGTGATTCAGAGTTTCACACATTGAATACTTGGAAACAGGATGAGCAGAGCACTCATGAGGTAATCCTATAAGCCAGTGCACTGTAATTGTTTTTGCAGTGTCTTTGGCAGCTCCAGCTTGTCACATTTTGGAGAAGTGCAACATTTCCAGCAGACAGTGACCACATTTTTGTAGAAGTGTTCTTCAGAATTAGACATGCAACATGGTTATATGGTTTCGCTTCCTGCGACAGCTCATGTCAGCTCTGGCAGCTGTTGGGCCACCTAACCCAAGGGAGGACCCTGAGTGTTGCAGTATCCTGCACGGACTGGTTGCTGCAGTTGAGTCGTTATGTAAGATCACAGAGTTGCAGCACGAGAGGCGCACCATTCTGATGGACACAGCCGAGAGAGTTGCCAACAGGGGTCGTATTATCTGCCTCACCAATGCTAAAAGGTCAATATCTAACATTTCCTTCACTTCATTTATATGTGTAGAGAATGAAACACTTAATCTCTCAGATAGTCAACAACAACTACAATGTTCACAAATATAGTATCTGTCAAAGGACTATTGTATTGCCACTGTTTTGTATTTGTGTACATATATGGCCTTTTCTAAAGGATATTATTTACCTGATATTTACAAACGAAGTTCTTATAATGCATTATATCATTGAAGACTCTGCTCTTTTTTTGTGTTTTATCATACAGTGATACTCATGTGCGCATGTTGGAAGACTGCATCCAGGAGACCATTTTAGAACAAAACAAGCTGGCAGCAGGTTCAGACAGGTCAGTGTCAGACAATGTCCAAAGAAATGTCTCACTGGCTTGTTGATTGACATGATTTTGCTTTGCATGTGTTTGGAATAGGGAGAAATGGGCTGAAATATGGTGTTGATAATACTCTCATACTAAAATAAAATACATATGTGATAAATGGCACATATATTTGTGCTAACCCATTGTTGTGTCTTTCAGGCTGATGGCCATTCAGCAGTGTGACCTGGTTTTGATTCACATCTACCCACAGGGTGAAGACACGCTGGTGTCTGACCGGCCTAAGAAAGAGGTGGGTGCTAACGAGATGTTCGGGGTTCAGTTTTCTAGGAATCAAAATCAGCCAGAAAGTAAACAATAAAAAAAAAAAAAAAAAAAAAAAAAAAAAACATGACACTTATTACTGGTTTTTAACAGCAAACCATAGCACCATGTCCCAGCTGTTATTCCTCACTGTATCCCTCTCTTGCTGCCTCAGATCTCTCCTCTGCTCACCAGCGAGGTTCACAGTGTTCGTGCTGGGAGGCACCTTGCCACCAAACTCAATATTCTGGTCCAGCAGCACTTTGACTTGGCCTCCACCACCATAACAAACATCCCCATGAAGGTAAGGAGCTTCCTGCCCTTTAGTCTGGCCTTGCACATGCCTCGTCAAAATTAAAACTCACATAAACTTTCAAATATTTCTTTTCTTTTGCTAGTATAAAAATGTTGTCATGTCCAGAATGCAGTGCACCACTTCTTTTACTTGATGATGGCTTTGTTTTTGTTATTTTCCCTTTTCTCTCACAGCCTTCACATTTTTCTTTGTGCTTGCTTAATCTTTATGTGTAAGCCCTTCCTCACCTCTAATGACCCATGAAACTTTACAGTCTTATCTTTTTGTTTATCTCATCTGCATGTTGATATGACTGTGAACCTGCTGCTGGTTTCATGCTGTATTTTCTGTTTTGCTAGCCCACATTAAATGTTTGCGAACAGGTTAGTACTCTTATCACACACACATGCAAGTGAGGAAGGGGCAGAGTTTACACTATGTAGTATGTAGTATACATTTTGAGCTCTACTGTTGCAAACAGGCTTACAGTGTCATTAGTTTATTTTGATGTGACAGTTGATCTACAGATTTGCTGGTGAGCCTCCAGTGAAGGACGGGCAACTCTGGTCTCATGTGGACAATCAGGGAATGCAGAATTTGGTGTTTGCTGGAAAAGCATAAATCCTGCACACCTGAAATCAACTTTTAGTTTAAATGAAATGATGTAATAACATAATTGACTCACAATTTCTTTTAAAAGAATTCAAATTGTTCTGTGAAAATCAACCATTTTTGGTTGTTTTGAGGTAGTGTTTCTCCCAAATACGGACAATAAAAACGCAGAATGTGAATGTTGCATTCAGCCGCCTTTAAGTCGAGACATCTGTGACCAGCGTTGCCTCTTCTGACTTATTAAATACTGTCGGTGTCTGTCAGGTGTTTTCACCTTAAAAGTTGTCCAAACTTTCCCCAGGTCTTTGTTTCCCTCATCAGTTCCCACTCACTTCCCCTTTAGTGTCTTTGTGTGGTCCATTGTGCTGTCTTGATAACTAGTTGTTTTTTTTGTTTTTTTAAAAAAATACTTGACCATCCTCTAAATGTTTAAACATGATTCCACCTTTAGCTGTCCTGAAACTGCAATTTTTCCAAGTGTAGCAAAATTCAAATTCAAAGCTTGTGATTAAAGTTTGTCCCTAGATTAGAGGTTGCCAGGCTCCTTGGCAAAATATATAAAAATGTTGTTTAAAATTGTCAAACAAGTGTAACACTCTACTCAATACAAGCTACTTTATGTATTGTGTGAATTAAATTACATTTACATTAAACACAAGTCTCTGATGTCGATAGAAGAAAACATACTTGAGTCATCCAGCAAGCGAACATTTTCCTTTTACTTTGCCCATTATCATTTACCCT